TGAAAGTTAAAATTTTCTTAATTATCAACAAAACATTCTCCTGGCTACAAAAGCAAACTTTTTTATGAAATATATATATATTTTTTTAAATGTCGAAATTTCGTATCCTTATATTAAAGACAAAATTCATGTTGTCTTGTGTTATTAATCACAGTGTAGGTAAATATCACAGTTAAACGCTCGGACACGTAAATATATTTTTTTCTATTCGTATATATACGAATAATAAGCACAGCACGATACGCATTTGCGTTTTGTACTGTCTCCATGGCAACAGTGCAATACGCAAATATAATTTATAATTTAATTTTTCTTAAAATTTTCAAAAATACTAAAAATTGTGTAAAGAACTCAGTCATGGAAAATTTTCTTGCACTCGTCGAAAAAATGACGTCCTATGACAGCTTTATCATGATGCAGGTCTAAAAAAGATTTTCGTATTGAGCTCTTCCACGCGTAACGGATAGGACAGTTGCCGTGTTTTTATTTACAAAATAATATTGTTCTATTATATTACCAATGTCAAATTTTTATAAATAGTTCTAAACTAAAGCTGTTTAACAAGGTTTTTATTTGGCAAAATTAGGTATCGTGGTTGACTGTTTAATTCCTTAAAAACTAATAATTTAAAGCGTAACGGACTTTGTAATAGTCCCGCCCGTTACGCTTTAAATTATTAATTTTTAAGGAATTAAACAGTCAATCACGATACCTAATTTTGCCAAATAAAAACCTTGTTAAACAGCTTTTGTTTAAAACTATTTATAAAAATTTGACATTGGTAATATAATAGAACAATATTATTTTGTAAATAAAAACACGGAAAATGTCCTATCCGTTAAGCGTGGAATGGCCCTATTGGCAATCCGATCCGGGGACACACTGTATACTGATTTATTATAATTTGTAAAATAATATATTTTACCTCTTGTGCTAACATTTCTATGCATTTTATTTCGTTTAATATATTATTATATAATATCCTTAATTATGCACAATTTTAAAAAAGAATCAGCAAAAAAACACTTTGAATTTCCTTAATTATCTAATAAAAAATCCTCAGGGACACGTGTTCCTTTTGATCAATTAACATGAAATTTTTTTTTTAATTGGGGGCAGCCCAGCTCTTAATGTAATGCTTTAAAACATAAAATATCTTTGAATTTTAACCTTATACAGCTAAACTAAGCACGGATTTGTAATCTACTCGTACGACCAAAAATTAAGTTTACGTGTCCGCACCCAGGAAAAGCTTTTATATTTTGAATGGGTTAACCATTGATCCAATGGTGTACTGTATTTGCAATACCTGAATTACAGCTATGATCATTTGATTGTCTTCCTTTTCATTGGCATAAATAAAGTTATGGTTTCTAAGCTCTATTTCCTTTAAATATGCATGTATATTCTTGTGCAAATATTAGTTGTGTAATACATTAATATGAACTTTAAATAAAATGAATTATGGAAACTGCTTTTGGTAGTCTTGTATACACAGGTTTTTTTATCCATAAAATAAAATTGTTCTGTTTTCTGTAGGAACTGTTAGGAATCCACTAGAAGTGTTAGTGATATTAGGCTCTAAGAAAGTTGCTGACCCATCACTAGCAACAGTTACTGTATTGGATGTGCAGGATCTGTCTGCCATGGGACATGGTTATTCTAAAACGAAATTTAATCTTATGTATTTAGAGGCGAATCCTAAAGATTGCTGAAAGTCCTAAAGCAATATATACTTTCAGGACGCCCTGGTATCATGATGGTACTAAAAGACTATGAGAAGTTTTTTTATAAATAAATAAAAACTTTGTCCATTAAGCAAAATAGCTATTTTAAGGCATGACACCCAATATCAAGATAAACTGTGTCCATGGTGTCCTATATGAGTACACATTTACCTTTTTGTTATTATTTAGATATAATTGAGTAATTAAATTACTGGATAAGGCATGGCGGACATACAATTAAAAAACATGTACAACTCACCTTGTAAATTCGGGAATAGAAGTACAACCCCCAAGAAATTAGCAAATATAACAAACAACCAAACACTACCCCATCCAGAGATAACCCATACACTTATATCAATTGGCGTCAGAGTCAATCCAAATGAAAACACCAAAAATGAATTTAAAAGTGCGCTGCATGATTTTTTATTGTAATGAAAAAATTTGAGGATGATCTTTTAGGTGTCAAATATGAATATCCGTTGCCGTTTTAATTTTTTGTTGCTTTACTTTTATTTGGCACCCCTTAGAAGTCTGAAATAGTGTCAATTTCTTACTCTCTTATAGTGGGCCAGAACTTTTTTTCTGTGACAAATATTGAAATAATTTTAATTTTGTTTTACTGTTCAGTAAGTGTGTTTTCGATATAAATTATTATTATCCAATTAGATAATCTCATAAAAGAATGGTAAACCACTAAAGATTCATGATAATTTGCCAATTTTTGTGATTTTTGTCTGGCTCCTGTGCCTATTCTACTGAATTTAGAAGGTTCATTTTTTTCAGGTATAAAGTACTTATACAATAGAAAACGTAACTATTATTTTAAGTTTCTAGACTATCAATTTCTTTATTAAAAAAATTATTGAAAATTGATAATTCTCAAAATTAGCCAATTTTGCCCTCAGAAATCATTATGTTGAGGAAAAAATAAAAATCTGAAACTTTCAGGAAATGTAGTCCCCACCTTCATCTTTTAAGTCCAGTTAGTCTTGTTTTGTTATTTTTGTTCCTTTAAAAGATATATTAATTTTTTTAATGCCCGTTTAGTAGCGATATTGTTAGTTTTATTTATAATTTAAAATTTAGATGGCTTTGACTTTGTCAATTCATGTTTGGTAGAGATATGTCAGAGCTGTCAAAAATATTTCATAAATTTTATTTGTGTGTATTTAAATTGTGATTTCAAAAAGTTTGCAAGTTTGCAAGTGTAATAAATGACGGAGTGTTCGAGATTCATGAATTTAATTGCAATTAAAAATGCAAGAACATATCATAATTTTGTACCTCTTTCTTATAAAAAATATTTAAGTTCTGAGAAGTTTTAAATTGTTAAAAATAAACAAAAACCAAAAAATATTCTAAATAAACCCCTTTAGTATAACATGTTTTATTTTATCCAGTTACCTAAAAACTAAAATTTAAAGAAGTATTTACAGATTGTGTAAATTTTTTCCAACACTAACATTTAAAATATTTACATACATTTAACTTTTAACTATTTAGTGCCTTACTAAAGGGATCAAAATAATAGAACAAGACTAACTTGGTTTAAATTGTGAAAGAAACCGACAAAAAACTGCTTAACGCATTTTTTATACGTTTAAATTAACTCTTTATTAATTTCACTTATTATACTTAACGATATAAACCATAAGGATCTTAAATATATTTTTTACATTCTTGATTTTTCAATACATAAAATATAACATAACTACCAAAAATATCAGAACTCTCAAAAATATTTCATAATTATTATTTGTGGTATTCCTTTGGTGATTTTAAAAAGTTTTATATATAACATAATATTACATATTATGTTATATACAAAATTTACCAAAGAAATACGCACAAATAATATTTATGAAATATTTTTGACAGTTCTGACACTTCTCCACCAAACATGAAAGCCATCTAAATTATAAATAAAACTAACAATATCGCTACTAAACGGCCATTAAAAAAATTAATATATCTTTTAAAGGAATAAAAATAACAAAACAAGACTAACTGGACTGAAAAGATGAAGGTGGGGACTACATTTCCTGAAAGTTTCAGATTTTTATTTTTTCCTCAACATAATGATTTCTGAGGGCAAAATTGGCTAATTTTGAGAATTATCAATTTTCAATAATTTTTTTAACAAAGAAATTGATAGTCTAGAAACTTAAAATAATAGTTACGTTTTCTATTGTATAAGTACTTTATACCTGAAAATAATGAACCTTCTAAATTCAGTAGAATAGGCACAGGAGCCAGACAAAAATCACAAAAATTGTCAAATTATCATGAATCTTTAGCGGTTTACCATTCTTTTATGAGATTAACTAATTGGATAAAAATAATTTATATCGAAAACACACTTACTGGACAGTATAACAAAATTAAAATTATTTCAATATTTGTCACGGAAAAAAAGTTCTGGCCCACTATAAGAGAGTAAGAAATTGACACTATTTCAGACTTCTAAGGGGTGCCAAATAAAAGTAAAGCAACAAAAAATTAAAACGGCAACGGATTTTCATATTTGACACCTAAAAGATCATCCTCAAATTTTTTCATCAAAATAAAAAATCAGGCAGCGCACCCCATTTGGTGTTTTTATTTGGAATAACTCGTCACCAGAAATACCGATTAATAAGTTGATCACATTTAACTAGGCACTTACGCGATTGCAAGTTGCCGATGTGTGGTGTGGCAGGGGATGTCCTGGAGCGTTTGTCTGAATTTTAGCAATCATTAAATTGAATATAGGCCGCATTGAAAAAATGGGAATAATAATTGGGCAAATAACAAGTATTTTTCAAGACAGTGAAAATATTGGTATTCACTGTAAGACAGTAATAAGTTATTACTAATAACTTACTTTACCTTAGTTTCCATTGGAATAAAAATCATAAACATTAAAAGAAACAAAGACTCTTCTTATTTCATTTGTATTTAATTTTTGGTTGAAGCATTATAGGTTCTCTAAAGAGCCATTCACTCTATAACAAGTAATTTTAACTTGATAATATTTTGTTATGGGCTGAATATAATATTTGTAATAAAATCAATCAAGTACCCTTAATTGCACCAAACATATTTGAATAAATAAACTTTAACTTTTATTGGAGAAATGAAAAAACAATCAATTATAGCATTGTTATTGACTATATCAAAGCGTTTTTTCTGTGCGAGTGTTTAGCTATGATATTTTTACCTCCCTACTGTGTTATTTACACTATTTATAATAAATAGTACGAATAGTAGAATCTTAATATTGTTTTTAAGGTTATTTAATGAGAAAAATAATACTGGACACAAAGAAAAAGATTTGCGGCTCCTTGGTACCTTCAAATCGTCAACTATTTATATATTCCGCCCACCAGTTAAACGTTGCTTGTTTTTTGCACACCCTTGGCTTGTACGATCCTCCCCATACTCCAAATTTTGGCGCTCATGTTACAATTGAAATCCATAGAATTCACAATACAGAATACGTCAGGGTAAGATATTTTTTAATAAAGAATGAACGCAAATTCAAATTTGACATCTTTTTTATTAAACTTATATTTATTTTATGTTTTATTTAAGGTTTTGTATCAAAATGGTTTAAAATTATCACTGGACGTAATGAAACTTCCAAACTGTGAAGAGTATTGTCCTTTTAAACGGTTTATTTCGTTATATCGTCATATTTTGCCGGACAATGATGAATGGTGTAATATGTTTCATAATTATTCAAATTAATTTTACAGCAAGTTCTCCTGTTGTCGTCGCGCTTAACTAATTTGTAAAAGAAGATTAAATAAACGTAATTATATTTGTCTATTATGTTCTTTTAATAAATTACAAAAACCATATTGTTCCAATCCAGGAACATTTTGGCATTAAATAATTTGTTGGTTATTTCCGATTCCGATTTTTCGAGGTACTAGACTTTAAAAAAAAACCATTTTTTATTTCTCAAACGGCTTTAATGAGCCAGTTCGTTCTACCCTAGATTTTTAGGTACACTTATCCTCGTAACGAATCCGTAGTTTTTTTTTTAATTATTTTCATTGCCCCACAAAAATAAAAGCCGTTTGAAAAAAGAACCCCCTGTACATTGAAAAGCAGTAACTTTTGAAAAAAGTCTAGTACCTCAAAAAATCGCCCATTCGGTTATGTTTGATTACCGTAAGGTTTGGGATCGATTACTTTTAAAATTGGGCTATAATAAAAAAAAGTGATTTTGAAAGCAACGCTCAACTTTGCACACTGCGCATAGCAAACAGGCACATCATATAGGTGCGCAATGGGGTGTAACGTGTGCCTTATTTAGTACATAATCAAAAGTATTAGAGGTCAAATTCTGAAAAAATGCCCGGTTAGCGAGTTATGAGCCAAAAAGCAAAAAAACTCCCCTTTCGGCGGATGAAATTAGGGGACGCGGGAAGAAATTTTTGGGGAATATTCTTGATTCATTATCAGCACCCCTAACTACATAATAAAAAATAAAACCCGACTACCATCGAGTTTTCCTTCTACAATCTTTGTTCCCTGGACTAAAAGCAGCAAACTAATATTTAAATTAACGTTAAACCATTGGTTAAACCGAATAGAGATATCTATAGAAAAGCACCGATGGTCAACATACAAAAACAAACTAGGTATAATTCATTTGAAATAATAGATAATTATCCATTAAATTATAGTTTATAATAATTATTATTATTATTATTATTTATAGTTATATCATACTGTCTTATATTATCGCGATTATACCTACATTAATTTGCTAATTGTAGTCGGTCACCTGAGGTAAGGCACGCCTCCCACTACCACACTCCCGCCTGGAATAATAATAATAATAACAATAATATTTATTTATTTTAAAATAATTTATACATTTAAAGTAAATTACAAAAATATTGTAAATATTGTCACAGAAGAAAAGTATAGAGCTAATATTTTTCAACTAAATAATTAAAAACATTTGATTTAAAACTATTAAAATTTTGAACAGTCTTAAGACGAGTTGGTAATTTATTATAACATACAATACATGAATAAAAACAGTCACGTTCAAGTGTTCCTCAAAGTTAGTCGCATCTTAGTTAGTCGGAACTTGTTCCTGCAGGTAGCCAACCTGATTGACGCATGCGCTCACACACGCTCTACACCAATACCTGGCATGGACGGAAGGCTTCCCCTCTCTCCTGGGGCTAACGCTACGCGACCCCGTATCGAGGTCGAGTTGGTTCGGTAGCGGTGAAATAAAGCGGGACCGCACACCCGTGCCGCCGAGTAGTACAGGGGCCCACCCTTACCTAGCTAGTACCAGGGGGCTGCCCTATCAATCGGTGTATAATCTCGTTACATGTAGTAGTTCCAGGTAGCGCCTGGGTGAGGGCCTGCTGCATGTTCCGGGGGGCTTCACTTTTTGAAAGCGGCCGACAACCTTCCTCACCGGGATCCACGTTGTGTTATGTTGGCCCTAGGAGAAGTTTTGGGAGGCCCAAAGTCCAAAGATATCTGCCCAAATAAGTGTGTGCGCGTGTGTGTTGGTCAGGTAAACAAAACAAAAAAACCAACTATGGAAGAGTACAAAGAAACAGAAGTTAGTAACGTGCAAAAAGAACGCACACCGGAGCCCCTCAGCTCCACAGTGGTGACAAGCGAGTCGTCACCACTGACAGTAGAAGAGGTAGATCTTCTCAACTCTCCTGCTGGATCACCAGAGCCGGCCAAAGCCACTGCTCTGGAGATCAAAGCCCAAAGGAGGAAGGAGAGGACTAGAGAGAAAAATAAGAGAAAGAGAATTAAGGAAAAGGAGGCTAAAAAGGAACTGAAGAGGCTACAGGAGGACCAACGTTCTCTAGTAGTATCTGACGTCCCTCAACAGGCAACCGGATCCGAGATGGCTGACCCCCAACCAAGCTGCTCAAGCCAGGTAAGGGTAAAGCCAAATCGAATTGGGGAACCTGGCAAGCTTCCAAGAGGTCCGAAAAGGAGGGAATACCTGAGAAAGGGTAAAAACGTCCCCCCATTACCATCGGCGCCGGCTAATGCAAGGAGGCAGGAAACGGGGGCTCAAACAAGAGCCCCTGGTCCAGCTTCCAGCAAAAGGCAGAGGGCGGATAAGGGGACACCTCCGGAATATAATAAAAAGAGGGCGAGGCCCTTTTCTGATGCTAGGCGGTATGTCTCCCCCTTAAAGAGAGACATTGCCGAGGCGTCGGAGAGGGGACCGAAAAGTAGAGAAAAGGTAGAAGCTCGACAGGAGGCTACTAGTCGACCAACAATCGACAAAAGTCTTCAAGTGGTCATCTTGTCGAACAGAATTGGAGGTACTGTTCTGCCAAATGAAAGCGAACGCATCAGGGCAAGCCTGATCAGTGAAATGAGGCGAGCTATGGAGGATTCCACTAAGGGATCCTCCCGCTTGGAACTCAAATTCATCAAGTCGGGCCTTGTCGACCCGGGCTGGTACTTGGTATCGGCTAGGGACGACACCTCGATGCGTTGGCTGCTGGAGAGCTGGTCTTCTCTGACTGTTGAGGGGGTGGTTTTCACTTCGGTGAAGGCCGCCGAAGCTCCATGGCCAGTGAAGATTGGTTTCTGGCTTAGGCAGGAAAAGGTGGACCTGGCAGAGGTCACAAGGATGCTTGATCTCCAGAACCACTCCCTTAACGTGGGGAATTGGAAACATCTGGAGACCACAGGGGGACCAGGAGCATGGCATCTAGTCTTCTTGGTTAGCCAAGAGGTTGTGAAGCGCCTGGAGGAGTCTGGGTGGGCCCTCTACTTCGAGTTGGTGACCCTCTCTGTAAAGAGGGTCTCGGCTTGGAGTAGCGTGGTGCGCCAGGGCTCGTCTGGTGCTGGAACCTCGAAGCAGACTGAAGAAAACTAGGTGCTGAGGCCGTACCATGATACACTCCGTCATGGACACCATACGGGTAAGCCAAATCAACCTACATCACTGCAAGGACGCTGCTGGGGAACTGGCAAGCGTCTTGGCAGGGAGGGAGGGCGAGATTGTCCTGGTACAGGAACCGTATGTTTACAGGAAAGGGGTTAGAGGAAAGGGTGCCACTGGCCTAAACATCATGGTTGGCACTGAGGAGGAGAGCAGCAGAACATGCATACTGACGTCCAAGGAACTCAATGTGCTACCACTTCCACAATTGGGGGCTAGGGATGTCACGGCGGTTCTGCTGGAATATAAGGTAAGAGGCATTAGAAATAGGATTATATTAGGAAGCGTCTATTTACCGTACGAGGGACCGTGCCCTACTCCGGAGCTAACTCGATTAATCAAGTTCGCGAGTGACAAGTGCATACCCCTCGTGCTAGGATGTGATTCCAACGCCCACCACTACGTGTGGGGCAGTACCAACACCAATAGTAGGGGAGAATCTCTGCTAGGGTATTTGGCATCAACAGACTTGGAGGTAATAAACAGAGGCAAAGAACCAACGTTTGTTATTTGCAACCGGAAGGAAGTAATAGACATAACGTTGGCATCAAGGTCAGTATATGAAGATGTTTCTAACTGGAGAGTGACCAACGATATAACGATGTCTGATCACAGGATGATCAGATTTGAGTTAAATGTCGACAAGGTCACTCCTAACCCAAGGAGGAATCCAAGGGCTACAGATTGGGAGAAATATCTCACCAATCTAAAAAGTCAAACTTGGGAACCTCCTGTGGACATTACCACCAAAGAACAGTTAGAGAAGGAAGTTAACCACCTAAATAGTACGATTGCCACAGCCTACGAGACTGCTTGTCCGGCCAAGGTGGCTAAGGGCCGAAAGGTCCCGTGGTGGAGTGACGTGCTTGACGACCTTCGAAAGAAGGCAAGGCGCGCATTCAACCGGGCTATCAAGGATGGGCTGCAATCCACGTGGGATACGTACAGGGAGGCCAGAAAGTCTTACAAAAAAGAGTTAAGGCGCAGCAAGGATATCAGCTGGAAGACATACTGTGGAACTGTAGAGTCACTTCAGGAGTCAACCAGGCTGATGAAGATCCTTAGCTGTGAGTCAAAAAGGAATGTAGGAATCCTAAGAAGGTTGGATGGATCGTGGACGAACACCAGTGAAGAGTCCCTAAGACATCTCCTGGAAACGCACTTCCCCGGCGAAACTCCTTCCCACACGTCAACAACGGAGGGGCCAGAGACCCTTACCTGGGACTTAGGCCTTGCCAAAGACGTCGTGAAGGAGGGATCGGTGGAATGGGCAGTAAATGCGTTCGATCCATACAAGGCAGCAGGACCGGATGGAATATTCCCAGCATTGCTACAGAGAGGCTTGGAGATTCTTCTCCCAAGAATAGAACGAATATTCCGAGCCAGTCTGGCACTGGGATATGTCCCAAGAGCCTGGAGGGCAGCTAAAGTGGTCTTTATACCCAAAGCAGGGAAAAAAGACTACTCGGCTGCAAAGTCCTTCAGGCCAATAAGCCTAACATCCTTTCTTTTTAAAACATTAGAAAGGATCGTGGACCGGTACCTGCAAGAAGGGGTGCTGAAAAGGTACCCATTCCATAAGAATCAACATGCCTATAGAAATGGAAGGTCGACCGAAACGGCTCTTCATTC